CATGCAATGCCTAGGAGTGGATCTTATTTATTAATGACTCTCTGCCTCCTGGGAAAAAAAGTCGCCGTAGAGATCCATATCCCTTCAGAGGAGTGCCCCCAAAGGCCACCACTATTGCTCTTGCCCACCCCATCACCACAGGAAGCTCCCACATCCTATCACTTCTATTGAGGCCTTGTGCTATTCACTATACCACTTCCCTGTTCTCACCATCTGTTGTTTCTTTGATGCTTCGTTACTTGAAGATTTGGACAGTAAGACTGTATCTTGTAACCACTACTGAGTAATAAGAGTAATTATTATTTATTGTTCGTATGTGGCAACTGACTGATTCAGAGATTTCAAGACTGGGTATAATCTTTACATCTTTGACAGCCTTCATGTGAGACAACTGTTACAAAATGACATGTCATTTCCTAACTATTGGAGACTCCAGGGCAACAAGCTGTACAGGAAAAGTACTGACATATATTCCAGCAGTGATCAATTAGCAAAAATGAAAAAGAACATTAATTGCACAGGGCTTGCAAGGGCATGGAGCAAAGGACCTTCTCACGTGTGAGGCCGGCAATGTACGCTGAGAGGACCTGTCCAGGTCATTGCTAAGGACAACTGGCAATCACTACTGAAATTTCAAATATACACACGTTTTAACCCAACAATTTGTATCCCCAATAAAATTCTGAAATATACAAGAGATGTGCATTATAGTGCTGTTTAAATAGCAAAAAAAAAAAAATAAAAACAAAAAACAAAACAAAACAAAAAAAACCAGAAATATCCACCTCTAAGAGCGAAGTTAGATAACTGTTACTCCAAACAGAAGTCCACAAAATATCAAAATGTTAAAAGTGCACAGAACAAAAAGTAGTGCACTCTATTTATAATGGGAAAATATGTATGTAATATTTCTGCATGCAAAAAAAGGAAAATTAATGCAGCCAGTGGACAGGAGCTATTCCTGAAAGGTCACACAGTTCACGGACAAAACAAAAAGTCACTAAACATACGGCATGATGCTCATCTTCACTAACGGAGCAATGGAAATAGGAACTTCTACTTTCTTCACGGTTTGAATTAGAAATGCAAGAACACAGTCTCAAAAAATGTCCTATTTTTAAGTCTTCATCAAGTCCCTTGTAAAAAGGAAAATTAGAGTCAAAGTAATAAGTTATCACACCTTATTAAAGACCAATGTAAATTATTTACATAAATAAACAATTTCTTCTAACCTCATTCATGGATTTGTTTTTTGTACTTTTCCTGTGTGTGGGTGTCTACCTGTCCCTCTGTTCCTGAGGTTATTAAGGTTTCTTCTTGATCCCATGATTATGGTCCAAATTTTTATACTCAAATCTTTAATCTAGTTGGAATTCACTATGTATTACATTATATATAATACACATTAGATATATATATTTTTCCCCCAATAATCAACCAGTTGTGCCAATACCACGTACTGAAGCTACATCCAGTTCCACCCATCCCCCACTGCCATCCCCTCACATCCTTCACTAAGGCCATAATCGTGCTTCACCTGGATTACTTCCTCAGGCTCACAGCTGGCCTTCCTCCATTCAGCATTCCACTTCTCCCACCCTACCATCCCCTTCCACTCTGAGAACCTGTCCACGAAAGCGACTGGGTCGCCTGCCTGTTTAAATCCTTTCAGTGGCTTTCCAACTGCTCTTAGGATGACACCCAAACTTTTTAAGATGCTCACAGTGAGGGTGGCCATGTTAATTTATCATCTAAAGAAGGAAACAAAAGAATGAGAAGGAGGCTATTAATAATCATGCTGGGACCACAGGCACAAACCAGACTTCCTGGGCAAACCAGGACATATATGCCCCCCCCCCCACCGCCCCCTGCCACTCAAAGGATCCCCTGTCTAGCTCTGAACTCCCGCCCCCTCCCCTCTGCCACAAGCTACTGCTCAACCACACTGAACTTATTTTGTGTCTTCAAACTTGACAAGTTACTTGATGGGATTTCATACGCTATTCACCTTATTTAAAACATCGGTTTTCACATCCCCCGTGCCGGCGCCGGGGGGGGGGGGGGGGGCGTTTCCTTTTTTTGGTGACCTCGAAGCCAATCTTCAGGGCACAACTTCTATGTCACTTCCTCTGCAAAGTTCTCTTGAGCCCCCTCCCCACTTCCCAAATTTAGATTTACCACCCCTCTCCTCTGTGCTCCACAGTATTTCTATGCATCCTTTTACCCAACATTTCTCCTGTCAGCTGCATTAGCCTTCATGTACCTTCTGCAAGTTCTATCTACAGGGCTTGGCACAGAGTAGGCATGGGATATTTGAGAACGAATGAATGAAGATCTGACTCTGGCAACATTATAAATAATCAGAGAAAGTTTTAAAACTTTTCAAAAAAGAGCTGGCAAATCTGTAGGACACACATAGTATCCTTCTCATAGTGGCTATATATTTGGTTGTATATATTCGCGTCTGTTTATAAACATCATTATTGCTTTGGAGGTACACCTCAGGCTTCTTTCCACTACTGTGCACTAAGTATTTTAAATGGAACAGCCATCTTTAGCAAATAATTATTTCTCTTAACCACTAAAAAATTAAAAACAGTATTCAAATTAACATCTGGGAGTTACATTTTTCATTTTTCATATTTAAAACTGTCAGTTCAACTTATAATTCAGGGACACCTGTCATATTCTACTGTACCTTGCTTCTGCTTTGAAAAAAAGACAAGGAAATATTTTAGTTTACTAAATGACTTCTTACAGTAATTACCTATAAAAAGTGAAATTCAAATTGATGGTAGTTAATATAAATGATTTCAAAGAAATCAATGTTAAATGTTAGGTCAAAATGGGATGGAAGATTTTTTCCCAAGACTGGCTAACTAGAAATTGTCATTGTCAATCGTGACGTCATGTGTCTGCAATCTTACCCACTTCCTACACATAACTTCCTGAAAATACACCTTTCAATCTGACTTCCCACCCATTCTTTTACCACATGGCTATATAATTACAGAAAGTTTTAAAAGTCTTCATCTAAAATATTTTCACCATAACAAAGTTTCAATATCCAATTATAAGGCTGTAGCCAATGGTGCTGAATACCATCTAAAATCATACCTCCCTCTCAAGGCAAATACCAGTTTCCATCCAGTATGATATTTTATTAACTATTCCATTCCAAACCCTCTTGAATATCAAATCATGTTGTTGGTTTTTGTCAGAAACATTCTTCTTTGATTTCTAATACTCAAACCAAGATAACACTCTCAAGTAGGAGTTTAACAAGCCTTCCATTGCTAACCTCACCATTTTATGGTTCAATATTAAATTCTCATGTGTACTCTGAGACCAAATGAAGACATTTTCAGAAAATTCTCTACCTATGAATCTCTTACTCTGAGCTCTTCACCTTTCTGAACACTGTGTCTTTAATTTCCTTATTCTTTCAGAACTAAAATTCAATCTCCTCTGTACCAGTACAAGTCAATGACTCCAAATTACTAATCAGTGTCCATTTATTTTTTTTTTTTAATTTTTTTTTTCAATGTTTATTTATTTTTGGGACAGAGAGAGACAGAGCATTAACGGGGGAGGGGCAGAGAGAGAAGGAGACACAGAATCGGAAACAGGCTCCAGACTCCGAGCCATCAGCCCAGAGCCTGACGCGGGGCTCGAACTCACGGACCGCGAGATCGTGACCTGGCTGAAGTCAGACGCTCAACCGACTGCGCCACCCAGGCGCCCCAGGGTCCATTTATTTTTAACAATATGTTCATGTATTTATTTTACTTACAGGGATTAGGAATTATGGCTTGTGCATGTTTTCACTTCATCTTTTAGTTAATACTATCTTTTTTGACTACCAATTTAAGACCACTATAGCACAGTTCCACAGGAGATTTTTCAAGGAAGGCAAAAACCAATTTTGGTATCTATGCAGAAATATTCATTTGACAGCCTACGTATGCTTAATAGAAACTATCGTAAGATAGACAATAGATAGATAATAGAAATTGTCATTCTCATCACATTGTCCATACGTAATTTTCACTCATGGAAAAATACTTCACATGTAATTGCAGGAGTATCAAGTCCAAAATGTACACGTTATGGGATTTAGTGCATTAATGACCTTCGAATTAACAGGAAGATTTTTAAATGACTTCTGTTGACCAACCACCCTTGAAGGAAAGATAACTGATACGGCTGGAAAGAAAATCGCAGGGAAGGGGTGAAATACATAAAGGAGATTCAGAGGTACGATCTTCCAGTTATAAACTAATAAGATGCAGGAATGTCGTAGACCACAGGGGGAATACAGTCAATAATAATGTAGCAATTTTGTATCATGACAGATGGTAACTAGACTAATTACAGTGACCATTTTATAATATATATAAATATCAGAACATGATGTTGTACACCTAAAACTAATGCAATATTGTTATGTCAATTATTCTTCAATTAAAAAATGGTAGGGAGAACTGAAATCTGCCTACCAATATTTTCCTAATATTTTATACTGGAAAACTGCTCTGCTCTGTAAGATGGTAGCATATATTAAAACATGAATCAGGGGGGAGAGAGAGGAGATGGGGACGACGGGGAAGGGAGGGAAGAGGAAAGCGAAAATGATCCTATAGGAAAATAGACATTGTTGTCAAATATACTGGAACACCATCAAGTAGCCAAGTAAAATGAACCTGAACAAAACCACTAATAGGCTCTGTATTCGGTACTCTTACCTTCATTTAATGAGAAATTGACCTTGAAGTGACATTACATTCACCAACTTAAACCCTGAGCTTCCCAATTAAAGTATTTTGTAGTTGGTCACATTATCATCAAAAGCTCAACTCTTTGTCCTTAATGGAATTTAGATTATTAAAATGCTGGGCACCATTTGAAAAGATATTTACTGAAAATTGATGCTCGAAACAAAATTCATCTGAAGTCTCAGAAAGTGGCTCTTCTGGAAGATATTTATTACATGTCCTCACCTTCACATTGGGTTTTGACAGCAGTTTCAACAGCTCTCTGATCTCACTGTTTAATGGCTTGTTCTGAAGCTCTTCGGCCAGCTGCAAGGGAGATCACATGGACAGAGAGAGCATTTAGTAAGAGCACTGTGTAGCTCCATGTGTGACAAATGAGAATCTATCTTGCCACTTTCCAGTGATTAAGGAAAAGTCAGCATGAAAGAAAACAGACGATCAATCACTGCTCCTCTTTTTAGGCCCTTGGTAGCCCAGGTCCCAGCCTGGGATCTTGGCTGAGAGTGTAACTAAAAAAAATCCTATCAGCCAGATCACCTTCTGATTTATTGCAATGAGGGCAAATCCCAGCACTTCATCTTAAGGAATGGTCTTTTGCATGCAAACAAAGGACCACTTGTAAAAAGGACTGGATCAGGCTTTGACACGATTTTTTAAAAGAGAGAGAAAGGAAGAAAAAGAAAAAAATGAAAAAAAAAAAAGGTTCTGAATGAGGTGGTGAAACCCACAGGGTTTCCAAAAACCCACAGTAGCTTGCTGTTTAGAGCTGAAGTGAAAAAGAACTAGAATGTCTCTAATAGAGCAAATGGTCTGAAACTTTTATTATGTTTACCTACACAGACTAAGAAGTCCGTTAAATGGGAACCAGGCTAATCATAAAATGACTTACAATAGGTTGACAAGTACTCTGATACCAAAAATGCTGACTGTATTCTACTATAATGATCCAGAATGCCCGTAGATGATTCTAGCTAAAGAAAGGGTTAGAACGTTGAACCTGTCTCATGTTCTTCATTTAGAGATGTTCCTATCAACATTCTGTTCCATTTCAGGTATGGTAAGGATCATATATTTTCGAAAGAAGCAAGAACAAATAGAAAAAAAAATTACAGGGTGCTGGGGTGGCTCAGTTGGTTAAGTATGTGACTTCTGATTTCAGCTCAAGTCACGATCTCATGGTTTGTGAGGTTGGAGCCCTGCATCGGGCTCTGCACGGACAGAGCAGAGCCTGCTTGAGATTCTCTCTCTCTCTCCCTCTACCCCTCCCTCTCTCTCTTAAATAAACATTAAAAGAAATTTAAAAAAAGAAAAAAAATTGTGAAATACTCAGTAAAGAATTCAAAATATGTACATATATTTTCATTTAAAAACCGTTCTTAAGATATTGCATGAAATTTCTTTTTGTTTCCACCAAGGTTTTTAAAAAGAGCTGTTCTTATCTCTGGAAAAGGACTTTTCTCTAAAAGAAGGGCATAATATAAATTATACACAAAAAATAAAATCTGATAAAATTGATAAATTCACTGGTTACATTTCAAAAAGTGATTTTACTTTTCCAAGGTAACATTTTTGTCAAGTTAAAATAATTCTTAGAAATAATCGCTAACTTACAAAAAGGCATAAAAGGCTCTTTGCATGCCTTAGTCACTTTTTTAAAATTTAAATATATTGCTGGGATGAATTAGAAAATGCTACATTTTACTGTATAAGTCTCTAATTTTTTTAAAAAGCAATACTGTAATATGATTGGGCCTCAATCACATTGGATATCAACAAATATTTCCCCAAACCCTCAAGAGTCAATGTCTTTAAGGTGCTTTTTAAGACTTCCTCAAGTGGCAACTACAGCTCACAGCTGTAGAATTCTATCTACACCTTCACTTCAAAAATTTTGGTTCTACGATGCACAGGAGTGAGTCGCCTCATAAAACACATACACTGAAACATCCCGATAATTTGTAATCTCTGGATAAACCTGGAAGGGAGCCTGGGGACTCACCAGGCAGCAAACATCTGAGAGATTTATTACATATGCTTTATTATCCAAATTAGGAGATAAAATATATATAAGAAAATCAACCTCGGAAGGTGGTTGGTTTTCTTAAATTATACTTATGGCCCTGATATTTTACTCAAGTGAACTACTGCTTGTTTTATCACAACAAAGTAAAAAGCTTAAAAGGCAACAGGTAAGTTAACAGGACATCACTAAAACGAGCCTTCACACGCAACCGATTTCTTGTGCAGCTTTGGTGTCTTATAGTTTATCCAGGTGCGCTCTCAATTCATCCGAGTTTGAAAGTTAACAGTAAGAAACAGCAAGTTAGCTCCCTCCCCCAGATCGAAAATAAAATTATAGCCACAGGAAATTAACTACTCCATCAATGCCAACTGCTTCTAAAATTTATTTTTTGGTTATGAAGGTAATTTGGAAAGGTCTAATACCCATAAATCATTACTATGCTTTATAATCCATTTTAAAAACAATCCTGTCTTTTTATGTATTTCATATGCCTCATTCCTATACGAGTATCTGTCATTTTTTTAGCACTGTCAGCAATAGACATATCTCATTTGTCTTTATTTCTCCAAAGCATTCCTCCTGCCTGTGACTTTTCTCAGAACGCTAATAGCTGACAGCTTCTCTCTCCCCGGAGAGGAGAGTTCGAGCCTAAAATTTCTGTTACGTAGTTACCAAGGCAGAACAAGATGGTATCTCCAATGCAAAATTTTTAGAGCAGGAGAGTGAATGAAAATCAGCATAATATCAGCATAAGCTCTGTGATGACAGGACTTTTGGAAACGTTTGCAGCTTCTTCTGGTTTTCGCTCATTGGATCACACGCGTCTGTCTGCACCGGGATGAGCTCTGTCCCGGCCAGGCCCGAGGGAGCCATGTCCCAGGGAGCTCAGGAAGGCACACTTACATCATCGGCCAAGACCGCTGCGCCGTGGAGGATGGGCATGGGGTTCTGCTTCTCATAGTAGTGGAGTTTTTCATGAATCTGGAAGAAAAACAAGTGAGTATAAGTTCACCTGCTGGCAAACAGGAAGATACTGTAAGATTTTTATCTCCGCCAAGAAAACTGATCCGCTCGACTCTCTAAACAAAAACTGTATGTTTCGATAAACCTAGAGATGACAGGTATGTGGGCATCATTCATCTCTGGTCCAGTGTTTCTAACATGAGGTCAAATGGGGGAAAAATCGTTATCAAATAGGACTCACAGAAAAGCTAAACCTTAGTTTTTCCCCCGAATAATTGTTAGTTTTATAAAATCTGTAATTTCTAAAACATATTGCTTCAATACCTAAGTATTGGTTGTAATTTATATTCCTGCTAAAAACATAAATTATGATTAAAGCAAAGTGATAAGCTGGCAGCTACATCCTGCCAGGCTGGTTTGTGATAACCACGAAGAGCGAGGGGGCTGGCACTGTGTGGGCCAGTGGTCAGCACTCTGGGAACGCCTTTCTGAGCATGCTGTTCCTTTGAGTCTTTTTCCCCCCCAATTGTCAGCGTCTCCCCCGCCCAGGGTCAAACTTCTAAGAAACAAAGAGAGTTCTCATAGCTAGAGAGACACGTCTCATAACTATTAAGCTTAAATAATTTTCTGTACTGTAAAACCAGTAAAATTATATTGTTAAATAATAAATAATTTGGTCCTTCATTTCCCATCATTACCCAAGATACACAAAGCCCAGAAGACAGTTTAGTGCATTATAAGACAGCGTTCTGTAAAAAAAACCCAAAAAACAAAAAACGAAAAAACCCGAGTATTATCAAGAGATGAAAGATGCTTTGACAAACGCAAAGCATTTGATTTCAGTTTGATCGATTTCAGCTCATACAGAGGTGCCCTTAAAATGTTATACTTGAAAACTTACTTGAGCCTCTACTTATTTGAAAACTTACTTGAGCCTCTACTTATTCATTTACACTTGAAGAAATTGCCCCTCACTATATATAAAAAACAGTTGCACTTCAGAATTTCCCATTTTTAATAGGTATCAAGTAATACACTCTTAGGTATCCAGTAATATACTCTTTAATTATACTGAAAGCTAACCAAACTCTCTTGTAAAATGTCTGGAAGATAGATTTTATTTTGATTAGCCAGATGCTACTGCTAAGAGAGGATTCTATTACCTTTTTGGCAAGCTGGTCCACAATGCAAAGTATCAGGGAAAGAATTTTGACACTTATGATATTACCAGTGATCAGGACCACAGTTTTGCTTAAAATACTGGAACATTTAAATATTAATCACGGTAGGGTAATAAACAAGTTATTGTATTAAGACTACAAGCTATAGAAGGAGCAAGATTTGATGTGAGAAACTATTACAGTATGATCGAAAACAAAACTGTCCCACTTAAGAGCTAAATTAATTTTGCTTAAGTCAGTATCAAAAATTCAGTCACCTCAACAAATACTATCGTAGAATGCTGAACCTACCCTCCTCGGAAGACTCGCCTAGCTTTATTGCAACTACTTGTTTAAATGTCTGTTTCCCTGTAATAATAAATACAGAGGCTCATAGTTACTAGGGACTTACCGTGTGTCTGTATTCCCTATATAACAGTGATCAGTACTGTCAGTAATACAGTCTTCAGGGAGTTCAGTATTTTAATTCCTTAACCCTCACAAGAATAGTAAGAGGCAGAATGCAACAGCATCCCATTTTACAGATGAGCAGATACACAGGAGTTAAGCAATGTGCTGTGGTTCCACAGAGAAGCAGCTGAGCTGGGACTTAAAGGTCAGGCCACCTGGCTTAGTGTCCGAGCTCTTCACTGCTCCAGAAGCCTGCCTCTCAGACTAACATTCCTCTGCCTTCCTCACGGACCTCGTTCACTGCTGGCTGAACAGGACAGAGAGGAGGCTGGGCAGATACGTGACAAATAATAATGGCTGTTTCCAATGACCACAGGATGGTCCCTTGGCACCCCTCCCCTATTTTTTCTTTCCAACATTTCTTCGGTTTTCCAGATTAATTTATATTGATACACTACTGTAATCACAGCCTGAAATTACATGCCCCAAATAAATGTATTGTTTCTCCACTTACTTTGCTGCTTCTGAGTGTCTTTTAAAACCTGTGAGCCCCTCTCTCCACATCACCTTCTGTAGATCTTCAGCCAAGTGATATGAAAACCTGCCCCCACCCTACGACTTTGTATTCTATCAAGAATTTTCAAATGTTCTCCTACAGTTTCTTTTTTGTGTTTTTTTCCTCCTAGAATTTCTAACTGCCGGTAACCCTATGTTGATACATGTTTCACTTCAGGACAGAATTTTAAAAATTAAGTTGGCAGGAAAGTAAAAATTATTCTAAGTAGTTCTAAGTTGTCCGTTGTTTCCCAAATAATTCACTTTTATTGGTATTTATAATATCCAGGAAGAAAATGAAAAACAAAAATGAGTTTTAAATACTAATATAATAAACAGGTAAGATGTATAAACTTCACCCCAAGGTTATTCAACAGAACTCTCTGTGATATTGAAAACATTCTGGGGGCGCCTAGATGGCTCAGTCAGTTAAGCATCCGATTCTTGATCTCAGCTCAAGGTTGTGAGTTCAAGTTCTGAGTTGGCCTCCACGATGGGCATGGGGCCTACTTAATATTAAAAAAAAAAAACGTTCTGTACCTGCTTGCCCAACATGGTTAGTCACCGGCCACATGTGGCTACTGAGCACTTGTCCTGTGGCTAGTTTACTTAAGGAACTGAATTTTTTATCTTATGTAATTTTTATTAATTTAAATTTAAATGCCCACATGAGGCTAGTGGCTTTCATACTGAATGATATGGCACAGCTTTATGTTAAATGCTCTGTAATTCACCTTTACACAACCAGAAAAATTCACTCTGATATAGTTTAGTCAATTTCCCTGAGTGCTAACATTCTGGAATCCAACAGACAAACAGAACCGCAGACACAGCATCTAATTACTAAATATCATGTATTGCCAAACCTACAAAATCTCATTTATTTTAACTTAAACACTTCCCTTTGCAGACTCAGCCATGCAATAAAAGCATACTTCGTTTTTGTCCTCTGAACAACAAAAAGAGAGCAAAAGTGGAAGGAGTTGCAGAAAGAAAAGAGTCAGGAGTAAAAAAGACTGGCGAAAAGGGGAGACTGGTTAGTTTCATCCAATAGCAAAACAGGCAATTATTCAAAAGTAAGGTCCTAAAAAATGGCATGCTAAAATATTTAAAATACACTATTAAGAAAAAAGGACGTTTTAAAACGGAGACATTTATGCTCCACTAAATAGTGATTATGCACGTGGCCGAAAGGGTTCGTCTTCTGTAATTATACTTACATCAGAAAAAGTCAGTTAAAATAAAAACCATTTCTACATGTAACCAATTCTTATAGGAAAGCTGTAATTACCTTCATTTACACACATCTTGAAAATAAATGTTTAATTTTTGTAAGAGAATCTGGTGCCAATAATATAATTTTTGTACACAGAGATGGTTTTAAATGAAGCTTCAATAGCGAATGTATAAAATAAATCTTGACTAATCTCAACACAATTATTTGTTTGAAACGTCTCAGTGACGTGTAGAGGTAAACGGAAGAACCCAATCATGGTTACCCGAATGGTATTAAATAAACCAAAGCTGTAAAAATCCATTTCCTGCCTTCTATTATGAATATTAAAAAGCAGTGAAAACACCCGCTCAGTAGTTGGATTCTCTATGTTAACAGCAAGCAGCCAAACCAGAATTAGCACTGCACGCACCCCACCCCCCACCCAGCTACCTCATGTATTTAGAACACGGAGAAGAGAGAGTTCCGAGTATTAGAAGAGCCACGGGACACAATGCCAGCCAGGAGGAGCTGGGAATGACAGAACCATGTTGTGTAGGGTTTAAAATAAATAGATAAAAATATTCTACTAATGGCGAGGATCCTCTTTTAAAAAATAATAATCTTTCTCCAAAAAAAACCATTTTATCAGGAAAGAGGAAATTTAAAGCTGGAAAAACATCAACAGAACAGAGGCAACAGTGCTCAACTGTATGTCCTTCTTTCCAATTTTATAGCACTACTCTCTCTTTTGGCGAATTTTCTTGGCCAGTAGCTCCAAAAAAATAAAATTATTAAAACTGATGAGGGGTAATGCTTTGTTCCCTGTCTTTAATATGCGATGAATTCTGGCTTTCCACTGCCATAGATCCATAGTATCATGTGAAATTAATACCCATGCAAGAGTTATATTATTATTATTATTATTTTAATGAATGTTCATGGCACATGGGTAGCTCAGTCAGTTAAGCATAGGATTGGGTCACGATCTCAGGGTCGTGAGATGGAGCCCCTCGTTGGGCTCGGTGCTGGGTGCAGAGCCTGCGTGGGATCCTCTCTCTTCCTTTCTCTCTGCAGCCCCGCCTATCCCCCCTCTGAAAATAAATAAACTTTAAGATATATATATATATGAAAAAATTTAATGTTCAATCTCACAAAATGTTTTCCATTAGATACAACCATACTGTTTCTCCTGTTTGACAAGGTAATATGGGAATTCTATTCATAGATTTCAAACTACTACTCATCCTGGCATTCCCACGGTGAACCTTGCTCGATTAGGGTATATTGATCTTTTAATGTGCTGTGGAATCCACTGGCTAATATTTTATTTAGACTTTCTCCATCAATATTCTTGACTGAGGCTGTGTTATTTTTTTCCCCCCATTGGTCCTGTCTTTCTTAGGTCTTGATAACAATATTCTACTAACTTCATTTTTTTTAAACTATGGAAGCTTCTATCTTTTTATATGGGCTGAAAACATCTCAATACTACTGGAGTGATCTCTTCTTGAAATATTTTACTGCATTCCCCTGAGAAACTAGCTGGATCTGACATATTTTGGAGGGTAGCTTTATCCCTCAACTTTATTTCTTCTGGGTGGCTTCAGGCAATTTCTCCATGTAGGTTTTTCTATCTTTTCTATTGTCAGTTGTGGCAAATACTATCTCCCAGAAAA